ACTTGTAACTTTCTGGGTTTTAATCACGTTTGTACTATCACCTCTATGATACCCACAAGTATTGTTTACTTGCATGTAATTCTTTTGTAATATCTTAGTAAATAAAGTTTTAGATTTTACTCGTACTGAAGACTGTTAGACTTTCTTGATGTTTGGACTTATACCGAATAGGACGTATACCGAACTAACCTTTCCCATAAGAAGTGATGTAAAAATGATTAATCCATTCACATGAAAAAAAAAGGCTGGCTTTAAACACCTTTCTTTCCTGGCTAGTTCCTGCTTGATTTTTCGTGAGATCAGCATGTATCTTTTTAGCTTTCTCGCAAATAATTGCTTCTGATACGCTGTCTCTAGCGCACTGTTTTTCAGTTATCCAAAGCAAAAGCAATTTCTTAACATAATCTAATGTCTTTGATCTCTGTTTAGAAATTGATTTAACTCCTTTTGCAATGTTAGCAGATTTAATAATGTCTTTATTTTTCACGATTGTCGATATTGTCATTCTAGGAATACAGTATGCAACAGTTAAAATCTCAAACACACATGCCACCTTCATATTTCTCAACAGTCTCTTTTTTCAGTTCCATTGTGATTCTAGTCATTTTTTTAGTTTTCTGTTGCTTTTCATGTGCTTTTTTGCAATTCATGATAAATAAAAATAATAAAATTTTACTTGCAAATTAAAATCAGAAGAAATTTAACAAAGTTATAAACTGTGGCACTGCGAACGTCTAGTCTGGCCTAGTACACCGATAGTGCTACTTGTTCATAGATGGTGCGTATAATTGAATTAAGTCGTATACCAAACAAAAGTCGTATAACGAGCAAAGTTTGTTTCTTCCAAACAGGGCGTATTCCGAATTCGACATATTCTAAAACAGACATATACCGAGGTACCACTGTATAACGCACCTTTAAGCTTATAATGAGTCCAGGAGAACAGTGTGTAATTAATTTTTACAGAACAGTAAAGTGAAATATTCACCATTCCACTGGACTTATTATTGGTTTGAAAGTGTATTATATTTTAAATAATCAAATCATAAATCTCTCCATATGTATGTGAATTCATAAATATGTGGAATCGGTTCTACTTTTGACACACTGAGACAATAAGGTTTTATTTTCTTGATGTTGACTGATTGAGAAATATAGAACAATATATCTGTTGATTTAAGAAAAACAGCAAAAAAGCAGATTTTAATATATGAAGTTTGGGATACTTATACTGTATTTTTGCAGACTGACTGGCATACCACATAAAAATGGGGGAGACCAGCATAGCAGAAACCTTGGGGTTATCGGCATGCCAGTTAAACTGGGACTAAAATATAAAATTAATTAGATCTAACAAAACTAATTGTTAATTAAACGTTAAAGAAAACATTTTTCCAATAAC